TTAGCTAGAAGCAAAATTTATGTAATCAGGCAAAGTTCACTTACCATTCAGTGGATTGCCATGACAAGAGCAGGGATGATGCAAGAATAGCATCCGAGTTTTCGCGTGAGAACGAACTAATTGCCTCTTGAAGGCCCTTAATAGCAACACCTCGATGATGATAGGCGAGATTTTCAGTGTCTTGATTCTGGGTCATCCAAGCAATATGTGAAGCAGATAATGCCAGAATCGAACTCATAACAAAGTCATTGGACAAGGCAATAGTAAGGAAGCTATAGAAGGATTAGAAGGATCAATTCATGGGAGAACCTGCATCTTTGACTATGGGGCCAACTTACATGGGCATCTTCTGGGCCCATACAGTGCAGTTACTGTAGCCTCTTCGGTGCAGGTCGATGGACAAACCTGCAATATGGTGGATGAGTCGAAGATCGGTGCGTGAGAACTTATACCAATAAGCTCGAGTGCTAAGCTGTAGCTCAGGGAAAGGCGGATTTCCAGACTTTTGCCAGTTCTGAATTTCTAGCTCGATCTCCGGAGACATAAGAAGATCTGGGCTTCTGGCATTATTGGCGGCATCATGAGCAAGAACATTATCCATGTAATCGCATCTGCAGTTATGCTTGGTGCAGTTTCGACTACAACGCGCAAGTCAGTCTTAGAAAAAAAAGTCCAAACGACTAGATCAAACTTACCATTGCGGCATGGTCTCATCACAACGTATGTGTCTTCTCTTGCAAGTCTTGCAACCCTTTCTAGACTTGGTATGGCTCTTGCGAGGAGGTCTACCACCAGGCCCAGCCATTATGGATATATGAGAGGATTAGGGAGTAAAGATGATTAGGTTGTTGGTGTTCGTTGAAGGTGAGTTTGGAACCGAAGATGGTATAGAAGTTCGAGCTTTCGTGATGGCAACAAGAGGAGGTTGAATCAAGGTATATAAGGAAGGGTGCAATACGAGATATATTGTCGTTGGGCTAAGATGATTTCAATAAGAAAAGGGGACCGGGTATAAAAATAGAAACAGGGTCGTAGTAATAGAGGAGACACGGAACGGGCTGGTTTAGATCTCTGGGCCTCTTCAAACAGTGTCACAGGCGTTTGAGCTGGTTGAGGTTTCGAATCTTCCGCGGACTTGGGACTCTTCGTTCCTACAGCTTTGCAGAGGTCTCTGTAGCAAGGCCCCAAAGGCGAACAAAGTCAGGCCGTCGTCAACTCTTCCAACGAGCTGGACCTCTTTTCGGATCCCCGGGTCCCTTTTGCCTCTGCACTTGTCAGGTTGAAGGCCTTGGGGGTTTCTATCTTGGGTATAAATGAACAATTCCGGTACCCCGTGTATCTTCTCCCTGCTGCTTATATATCAACGAGGCTTAAACACGAGCTGGCGAGTATCGGCTGAGACGTAGTTAATTGATGAAGGATATGAAGATGGAGATCGAAGAAAATTGATGCAGAACAAGGTATCTCTATGGATAAATATGAAGAGAGGAAAGCATGGAACACCGCCCCGAGACCATGAAAATAAGTTTCAAGGGTATCGGATGAATAGGGACCCTCTTTTTTCTTCTGCGGAATGATCCTGGTCAGGGTCAAGATATATACTTCAGCAAAAGGTATGACAGAAGTGCAAAAGCAAAAATCTGGAAAGAGGACACTAAAGAAAGAAGAGAAAAAGAAAAATAGGGAGGGAGGAGAAAAAAAAAAAAGAAACAAAAAAGCAAGCTTACAGGCAGGCCTGCAGAGAGAGAGGAGAGGAAGAAGAGAGCGGAGCTTAAACAGACACAAGTCAGACGCATGAGTGGGGAGGACGCTAGGTCGAGTTGGGCTATAGACCAGAGAGATCCAAAGCCAGGCTGGGGTGGAAAGACAAGGCAAGGAGAGGATGGAGAGGCGAAAGTTTATCAGGCGGAAGAGGAATAACCAAGACGTTAAAACGTTTAGGACGCCTAATAGGGGGGAAGAAAGGGAAAGGACAAGAAAGTTCGGGCGGCGGGAGCAGCCATTGGAGGGAAATAAGAATAGGAGGATCTCAGTGGCAGGGGACGGGGACTGCTCTTGAGTGGTAAAAGGCCATGACTATCACTCTTGAACATAAACATGGGAGCCACGGAATTCGAATTAAGATTTGAGCCAGATGTAATCAGTATGGGGATGGATCCAAGAAGAAACGGAGAAGTGTGCTAAACAGGCGTTTGGCTGAGAGGCGTACAAGGATTCCGCCATCCTTCTGCGCCCAAGGCATGCGCCTGCTGAGTTACCATGTGGCATCCGCCAATTCTGTGACAAGGTAAGTTAGCTGATATACATGGCAAAAGCAAGGGGATAAAAAAAAGAAATTCAGAGAAGGCGAAGAAAAACAAAGGAGAAGCGAGCGAAAATAATGCAAAAGAGATTTAAAAACAAAAAAGGGGAGAAAAAGAAAATGGGAAAAAGTCAGAAGTGATAATGCAAAAGAAAAAGAGGTTAAAAAGGGCCAGGGTGAATTGGGTGATGGCGTACGGAGTATGGACGGAGAACATGGAGTACAAATTGGAAAAATACCGATACCGACCGGCCGGCCGACCATGGTCAGCTGGCTTGCTGGACTGCACCCGCATGGTTGGCTTCGAGGGATCCTTGACAATTATGTGTGGAAAAGAAAGGCCGATCTGGCAGGGAAGACGAACCCTGGGTCTCGTCAGCTCAGCGGCTGGGTGAGAACGAGAAAGGCCATATTAACAGCAAGAGCTGCCATGTTGTGGACATCGATCTCTTGTCAAGCGTGGAGAACAAGATCTTATCCACACCGTCGGCTATGGGGGAAGGAAGGTAGTACAAAACGAGAAGGTGGAAAGGAGACAAAGTTCAGCACCGGCAAGTCGGGAAGAATCAACTCCAGCGGGAGCAAAGTTGATGGTATCGAAGGTCAGGCTCCCCCTCCCTCTGCCTCAAAGGGCCGCCATGGCTTCCATAGGACGGAGTAGAAGGGGGGGAAGGGGGGGGATGAACCGCTGGACCTGTTGATGGAGCAGAAGCTTCTGTTACCTTCGGCGCACGGCCAGTCAACTCGACCCGCGATGTTACTAGTCATGTATTGGCGACGTAATTTTCAACATTCTCCTCAAACTTGAAACTCCAACCATGAACGCTGGTAGCGGCTCTTGGGAGGATTAATAATGAGCTAATCCCAGCCTTAGTTGATAAGCGTCCCTTAGTGTGACGGACCAGACAAATAACTTGAGAGAAGAGCCTTGTGAACGCCTGTCACAGCAAAACCTGTTGATCTGCAACTTCGCTCCGTCAAACATGCAGAGGAGCATTCGCAATATGGCCATGGCAACGCTCTGCTCCTTTTTGCTTGCTTCGAAGTAGTTAGTGAGTAGGTTACCCAGTCAGGAGAATTTAAAAATAGTTAGGGGAAATTATCCGTCGTTTCATATATATTTACACCACAGAAATTACAAGATGATAAGGGCGAAATAAAAGAAGAAGAAGAGGAACGAGGGGAAATGCGCGGGAGAATGTGCATGAACAGAGATGAACATTACCCTCCAATCTCTGCAATTTTCCAGCCCTCCGCATAATCAAGGGCAGGGTTTGCACGGGACGGGCCCTTCAAGGCCTCCCGATCAGGTTCCCACATGATTGGCCTCTTGGTATTCATTCTCCAGCCCATGGAGGGATCAGCATTCTTGTTGTTGTCGCGTCCGAACAGCTCTTTTGGACAACGGAGCTGACGGTGTGTGTTGCTTCGATTTATGTCGAAGAGCTGATGTTGGATGGAAGGTCGTCAAAACAAAAAGACCAGGGCTGACTAATCTATCTCATTTCGGAAGTCGGCATTTGTTATTTCAACGTCGAACTTCAAACTTCAACGTCACCATCGACTACTACTACTACTACGACGACGACGACGACGAGGACGAGGCAGCACCCTGTACGGAGAACGGGAGTACAGCATTCCCAACAGGACTAAGGGCGGCGTCCTAAGAATTCCTTTCCTCCCTTTCCAGATGCCAATTTCTCCGGTATGCCACTGCGAAGCCAGATAGAACAGGAGAAGGGAAAGGGGGAAAAAGCAACGCGCAGAGGCACGAGAAGAGAAAACAAAACAAGGTGGTGGCTTGCGTGCAGCAAGCCTGCCCATCAGATGATATCCTGCCTGGCTGGCTTCAAGAAGATGAAGAGCATCCCTGCTCCCTAGCCGCTTAGCTAGCGCAAAGTTTTTCGAGTTTAACGTGTTTCATGTGTGCATGAGGGAACTATTATTATCTCTTGGAGCCTGCCTGCCCGTCGCGAGACGAGACTGTGCGACTGCTGCGTGCGTGGCAACCAAGATCAGCCATCCCGTTTCTCTCAACAGGCACATGTTTCTTTGGCAACAACCACTCGACTCTGTAATTATTGAGCTTGAGGAACACGCGGCTAGCACAAGCAAGAATAAGCGAATCGACCCGTTGGATTGGATCTCGCGGAACGAGGAGGGACGCGGGAGCGCGAGGGCTCCGATACAGCGAATGCTGGGTCGATGCATCCGGGTCCGACCAGGAAGGCGTCAACGAGTTGTATGTCAAGAAACATGGCTGCTCCCTGCCATGCGAGAGGCAATCACAATGGGCATTCCGCTATCATTGTCGATCCGTTGCAAGAGAGAGGCCAACAGTGCTTTTCTGGCGACAAAGAAGCATCTGTTGGCTGTGACGGGACTGGGACACTGAGACTCCCAAGAACTGTGTGATGCCTTACCTTTTTCTTTTCCATGAAGTCCCCTTGCATCGATAATGGGAAAAACAAATTTTAAGATTCGGCATTTTGCTTTGTTAGCGGCCGTAGTTTTCCTGATCTGGAAATTGCTATACGAGCTGTGATTGATTTCTAAACTGCAAACTTGCCCGATAGGGAAAGTTTAAGATTGAGAACAGGCGCACTGATTGGACGATTTCTTTCAATACATCGGCCTTGTATCAGCATTTCGACAAACTTACAATGCTCACATATGTTAAGGTGTTCAATCTTCAGGGCAAAAAGCGCAAATATGAGTAAGGGGCAAGACTGCCCGATTTGACTGTATGGGCCGGAATGATTCACACCGAGCATCAAGATTGCAAAAATACTTTCATGAAAAAATAAATTATACATATGTATAAAATAAGGCCAAACTCCAGCAAGGTATCTTCGGACGTATGCCA